GGGCTCCCTTTGGACCTGGGCTGAGCTTACATGTGATAGTGCTGTCTGCCCCCACCAGACTGAGCTTTGTGTGGGGAGAGGTCTCCTTGCTGTCTGTGGCATGTGGCGTGGGCCGCCAGGATTAGGCCAGAGCAGTGAATGAGATGGAGCTTGAGTTGGGCTCTGCCAGGGGACAGGCTTTGGCCAGAAGGGGCCGGGCCTTAGATGGAGTGGAGGGCTTGGGTGGTCCAGGATGGGGGCCACTCAAACCCTGGGGCGCATATAGGAGCCACACAGCGTCCAGAGGAGCCACTAGAAGATGAAGGCCTGCTGCATCTTTCCCACAGGAGCCAGGCTCAGAGGACTGACCTGTGCCCGGGTTCTCCAATTACACATTCTCGTGTAATTAGAATCTTCTCCCAGACCCAGGAGAGAGCAGCTGTGCTGCAGATAATTACCGCTGTGCTGGAAAACCCCAGAACCAGAAGCAGAGGAAGCTCTCGCTGCTCGCCCTGGGGAGGCGGGGGCTCTCCTCCGGGGAGGACCCCCAGACACCCGGCTCCCTTCCTGTCACCCCATTGCCATGACTGCACGTGGTCAGCTCTGCAGCGGGGGGTGAGGGTGAGGACTTCGGACCCTGCACGGCAGCTTCTCCTAGAAGAAGGAATGTATGTGTGTGCATGCGTGTGCACGCGTGTAGTGTGTGCATGTCTGTGTCTGTGGTGTGCATGTTTGTGTCTGTGCGTATGTGTGTAGTGCATGTGCAGTGTGCGCATGTCTGTGTGTGCATGCATGCATACTGCATACGCAATATGTGTGTGGTGTGTGTACTTCGCATGTAGTGTACAAATGTGTGTGTGCACGTGTCTGCACGTATTCGTGATGCGTGTGCCCATGAGTATAGCATGTATACGGGGGGTAGGTGTGTGTGTGCGAATCCCCTCCCTGAGCTTGGAGGACCAGATGGATTGGCATGGAAAACACATCATCAGTTTATTCTGTCCCTGCCGAAGGGCTGCCCTGCCTCCGCCGTGATGTCTAGGTGCTGTGCCTCCCAGAGGCCTGCACCAAGGGCAGGAGTTCGAGTAAGTGGGGTCAGGGGCCGAGGGCAGACCCTAGAGTTCAGGAGAGGAGAGGCTGAAGCTCTGCATTCCTGAAGCTCAGCACCCAGCACCTGGCTGGGCCCAGATGCCTGGGATTTCCAGCCAGGCACCCACCTTGCCGGGTGCCAGGGTGGTCCCTCTTGGCAATGTGGCCAGAGCGACAGGGGGGCTGAGCCTCTGAGCCCACTAGGAGGCCTCGCTGGGGTTCTCCATGCCCCAGGCACCGGAAAGGAATATTTGGAATCAGAAATACAGGTAATCACCGATTTCTCTGAGAAATACTCTACCAAATGTTTTAAAATTGGACTTTCTTAATTTTAAGGAAGATTTAAACACAACCCAACATCAGGCATAGGCCTGTAACTATCATTTTAACCTATATTATTTTACCATCTATGGGGGAAAAAAAAGTTTAATTGGGTCTCTTTGCCTTTAAATAAGGTAGTGCTCCATGCAGACCTGAGGAGCCAGGGGCTGGGCAGATGCAACTTCAGAGAGAAAGGCCAAGGCCGGTGTCCTGCTATCTCCCCGGCCGCCAGCTCCTGACATCCTGGAAGCACAGGCAGCCCCGAACAGCCCTGGTTAGTCACAGGGCAGCAGCTGAGAGCCCATGGAGGGGCCGTGTCTGGGAGTTATGAGCAGACAAGACCTGGGTGGCAGCCAGCAATGACCGAGGATGCTGTCACTGGCATTATCACTGTATAGGGAACATTCCAGAAGCAGTATGGCTGGTGTTTGCTCAGCACTTGGCTTCCTAGAGGCACAGAAGCCAGATTTGCCAGCCTGGGAGCTGCGTTCCACCCAACCCCCATCCCATCCCTGCCCTGTCCCCACCCCGCCAATGCTGCCCAGCCACTGGCCTCCTGCCCCATGCCTAGCAAGCTCACAGTGTCTAACTCCACCTCACCCAACAGGCGTCAAAGGTGCTGGGGTCACCTCGGGCCTGGGCTGGGCGCTGGACAGCAATGGGCAAACCAGAGGTAGGCCCTGGCTAGACAGAGTCCACAGGGGGACAGGCGCACCCACAGTCCAGCAATCCAAGTATACCCAGCCCCTCACGGCCTGGGCCCTGGGTCCCACCACTTTCAAAGATATGCACCAGAAACCAAAGCAGCCCCAGGGAGCTGTGCGTGGGCCAGGGCTGCCCAACTCCACCCTGAGTCTAGGACAGGTAAAGAATGGGCCTCCCTAAGCCTCTGGAGGAGCACAGCCGCCACACCTCGACTTCGGGTCTGGCCTCCAGTACCGCGGGAGAACGCACCCATTGTTTCAAGCCCACCGGTTTGTGGTGATTTATTACAACAGCCCCAGGACGTTAATTCTTCAGTGAGCGAGTCCAGCCGGTACAAGTCGGCCTGGCTCAGACCAGGGGAAAGTCCGTGGCTGCATGAGTGCCGCTGTTCACTCTGCAGCACCACTCTAGGTAGCTGCCAGCTGACACCCTCAGCGGCCAGGGGCCGCCTGCTCACAGGACACGGCCCAGGAGGGGCCTAAGGAGGACCAGCAGCTGGGGAGGGGGGTCCAGGCGGTGCTGCATGTGGTCTAGAAGTCTGGCCAGTGCTGGGGAGGTAACGTCCATGGCCTCCCAATCAATGAGCTGCCACACTGAGCACAGCCTGAGGACACTGCAGGCGGCCAGCCCCAAGCAGGGACAAGAGAGGTCCTGGGGGCCTGGAGGGGCCTTGGGGGAGTTTGAGCAGGGGCTCAGCCAGAAGGAGCCCTTCCCTCCTGGCCTGTCGGCTGGATGCCCCCCACCCCGGGCCCTCCCTCCTCTGCAGGCAGACTCTGCTCTTCCTTCCAAACTGCTGGGGGCGGGGGGGAGACTCCTCTGTTGTCCCCCATGCCCGGTGCTGCATGGCAACAAGGACATGTCCAGGGGAAGGTCTGTGGGCCTCATGCTGCCTGGGGGTGGGGCGGGAGGAACCTGTAGGCAGCACCACAGCTCCTCCAGCCCCCAGGAGGCTTTTATCTGCTGTTTACCTTTTAAATCAGAAAAAAGAACTGAAGACTCCAGAGTTTAAAACTCATGAAAACCACTGAACTGCAGAACTTAAGTTTATTACCAAGTAATTCACGTCCATTCTACAAGACTAGAAAACACACACACAAACAAATAGAAAAGTCCACAATCACCCACCCAGAGACCCGTGTCTCGGGGGATCTGCCTCCAGGTATCTGTCCACAGAAAATGAGCACAACTTGTTTTGGGGATGACCCTGTGCTCTGTCTAGATTCTCTATCTCCGCGTCACGTCCAGCACGGAGCAGCACTCAACAGAACAAACCTAACAGTGAGCACCAAGTGCTTGCGGACCTGCTTTCCTGGCGACTGGACGAACCAGCTGTCTGAGCTGCAGCCACTGCTGAGCGCAGGCTCTTGGCTCTTTCCTTTGGTTGGACATGCACCCCCACATCTGTGATTTCTCAGGCTACTTCCCTGGGATGATCCTGATTCCACCTCAGCTCTGCGTGGTGTTCTGCGGCCCCCACACTCCTCTGCCCCGTCCTCTGAGTGACTATCATCATGGCTTGGGGCCTGTTCTCCAGGCAGGACCTGAAGGGAAGGCCCTGGCTTCCAGGAGGGAGCGTGAAGTTCCTGCACCCATGAGCATCACTCAAGTGGGCCACAGGTCGTGCCAGCCCATGCTCAGCCATCTGAAGACCAGGGAGCTAGCTTCTCTCTGAAGAGAACACATAATAAAATGCACATTCACTACAAAAAGTTCAGACTACACGGAAAAGTATGACAGAGAGAGTAAAAGCCACCTGCAGCCCATTTCCCAGTCACACCATGTGGGCCCTACATCCAACAGGCTTTTTCTCCCAACACATATTTTGTTGCAAAATGGGATGGTCCCAAATACTGTTTTGTAAACCTCTTTTCTCTATTAAGTGAGAACCTATTCCTGTCAACAGCTGTAGCCAGATGGCTCAGGGATGGCACTGTCAGGCTGGACAGTTGAGTTAGTCTCTGACCGACGGACCGAGGGCTTGCACATTCCTGTTAGTCTCTTTTTATCTGCCACGTGCCTTTGAGGGTGCGCATGTCTGCAGTTGTCTTGTCTGTTCTCGTCCAGAGAAGGGGCCCAGGGCTCTGGTCCTGCCCAGCCACCCATCAGCTGGGCAGCCTCAGAGGATGCTGCTGGGCTGAGTCCTGAGCACCCCAGTCCATGCTGGTCCACATACGTGGCTGCCAGCCCTGCCTAGCCCCCACAAGACATGGCCAGTGAATCCCTCAGTGCTGGGGATGCACCATCCCCCACTTCCCAATCCTGAAAATTAGGGTTTATCAATTGATGTTCCCCTAGTCCAACAACCGACCCCAAATCCCAGTGGCTTCTAACAACAGACATGAATCTGTCTTGCTCCTGGGTCAGCCGAGGGGCTCCAGACCAGGCCTTCTCATGTGTCTGAGGTGCAGTCACAGAGGGCGGTGGGGGGAGCAGCCTGGATTCAGAACAGGCCAGATGGAGTCAGGGGAAGGGGGAGGCCCTGTGGGGTGGGCGGGAGGAACAGGCGCAGCCATGAACTCCATCTGTGCCCCGGTAACGAGATGCACAGCAGGGTGGGTGGGCAGCCCCAACAGCAGCCCCAGCAGACCTGGGCACTCCTTTCAGGAGGAGAGGCCCAACAGGGCCACTGCAGAAACAGAAGCTGAAAGCCAACAACAGCAGCTCAGCAAAGCAGGCTGCTGCGGTGAGGTGCCTTTCTCACACTAACGTGTGCAGTGACACGGACTCCTTTATAAACCGAGCTGGGAAACTGTGCTGCGGTCTTGGGAGGCATCAGCTCTGTATAGGGCCTGGGGACACGGGCTTGGCTCCCAGGGCTGCCCAGCCCCAGAAAACACAGGAGCCCCCGGGAAACACAGGAGCCCCTGGGGCCGAGGTGAGATGTGGGAACAGGCCCGGGGCGCAGGAAGGTGCTCACAAAACACTTTATTGACCCTCATAGTTGGCTTTTCTCCTCCCCACACCCTAACAAGGCAAAAGGACCCGAAGGGAGGGGTGTCCACCCAGGCTCTCAACACGATCCTCAGGCGCAGGCCCCTCTGGGCACCCTGTCTGCCTCCGTGCCCCTTGGAGCCTCGGGCACAGCCACCACTCTGGTCAGAGCTGGCCACCACCTTCCAGCTGCATCTGGTGGGCCAGCTGCTGCCCGATGGACAGCAGGGGGCTAGCTCTGTAGGCCAGACTGGCCAGCAGCTCTTGAAAGCGGGTCCTTTCTTCCTCCCTGAAAGAATGGAGACCAGAAGTCAGCAGGTGGCAGGGCAGGAAGCCCCCAGACCCCAACTGAGTGAGTAGAACCATGGACCAGCATTCAGCATCTCCAGGACCTAACATGACTTGCCCACCCCACACCCAGGCACCTTGGGCACCTTGGACACCAGAGTGGACAGCAGAGGCCAGAGGTCACCACGAGACTGAGTGCCTGGGGCCTCAGAAACTTCCGACAGGACAGGGAGGACGCGACAGGGGCTGCCGTGAAGGCAGGAGGCTGAGACGGCAGCTTGCATGCACTCAGACACGTGGCTTACATAAGAGGCACCTCCCTTCACAGTGCACCCAAAATAGACGCTCGCAGGAGAGCCAAGAGCAGGAAGGGCAGAACAAAGCGGCCTGTCAGGGGGCATCCATGCTCGGGGCCTGCTCAGAGGGGCGCTGGGCACCATGGTGACAGGCCCAGCACTGCCCCAATCCCCGACCCCTGCTGCCAGCCCAGCGCCCGCTCAGGATCCACCTGCCTTTCCCTAAACCCAGCACGGTAAGGCCTCCTGCACCCCAGCAGGATGCCCTGTGGGACAACAGTGACCTGAGTGTCACTCTTAGACACGCAACTACAGGGCAGCTCTAGGACAAGCCTGTACCGGCCCTGCCAGACGCCGTGTTGGGGACAGCCCTGGCCTTGGGAGGATGCGGTGGGGCTGAGCCCATCATCTGATATGTGTGTCCAAGTCCAAACCACGCTGGACCCGGGTTTTCTCAGCTGCATGGGAACTCCTCGAACCCCACTGGATGCCTGCCTGAGCCAGATGCCCACACAACAGTCGCTGCAGGTGGCCGCTCAGCAGGAGGATCCCTGCGCTAGGGTCAGCCAGCCCAGCCCATCCCGACTGCACGAGGCAGCCAAGTTCTGCTGGTCACTGACCATCCCCTCCTCCTGCCACCGACACCCCGGCCCCTGCATGGCAGCCCTGCCAGTCACTGGGAGAAATGCCTCAGTCACACCTGGATGCAGTCCAGGACCCTGGGCCACCAGGACCCAGTGAGTCCCCACCTGGGCAGATGAGCCTGCTGCCTACCTGGGGAGCATGAGGCCAGGGGAAGCCCCAGGCCAGGGTCCTAGCCCCAAGGTCCGTCAGTCAGGGTCTCAGGGTCAGAGGCACAGAAGGAAAAACCGCCAGTGCAATGTCTGGAAGCTGGCGCTGTGTGGGACTGCGTGCAAGTGGAGGCAGCCTGGTTGGCAGGAGGTGTGCTCCTGGTCCCCACAGCTCTGCAGCCCCCATTCTGGGCCAGGCCCCAGCCTCACACTGGACTACCATAAGATGGGGGCTTGCAGGCAGAGGCCTACCCACCCGAAGGCAGCCTTTTGTTTGGTCTGGTGACACCCAACACCATGGCTGACCCGCATGCTCACAGGAGCAGATGCAGGGCACAGACCACAGCCCCCGGCATGCGGTAGACACTGTCCTGCACCTGAGGAAGTTGGGGGTGGGGGGATACACTTCCCACTGGGGACCTCGGAGCCGAAGGGCCCGCCACATGTGCTGGTGTGGCCCCACACAAGTGAAAAAGAACACAGACAGTGGCTTCAGAGCAGGAGAGTAAACAAGTTGCTTTCTTCTCTCAAAAACAGCTCAAAAGTAGCAAGAAACCCAACCAGAAGACACGTTAACCTGAGCTGCTTCCAAATGCTGTGAGAGTGGGGACATGGGGAGTGCTAGAGGTGCAACCGCAACAAGACTGTGGGCCGGGCTTGCGCTGAGAGGCAAACCCTGCACCCCCTGCAGACAATGAGGGAGGGAGGCGGGGGTGAGAGACAAGCCCCCTGGGGACTTCTGTGTGTCCACAGCCACCCTCGGACATCTGACTGAGGAAGAACTCGGTTCACAAAGGGCAACAAAAAGCACAGGTACAAAACCTGTGGAACACCCAAAAATGCCCAGGCCAGAGCATCCAGAGAAGCAGCGGACTGGAAAACGGGGCCGGGGCCCAGCACACGCTTAACTGGAGTCCCAAGAAGAGCACCAAAACGACAATGTAGAGGGAACACTTGAAGCCTTGAGTCATACAAACTTCCGAAAATAATAGTAATTATTAAAAGACTATAATTCAAAAGGGCACAATGAGCCTCAGCTAAAATTGACACGGAATGTTCCACACTAAGAAATACCTTAACAAAGTTACTTTAAAGACAAAAAATATCGGGCCGGCCCGGTGGCGCACTGGAGAGTGTGCCGCTTGGAAGCGCGGCGGCGCTCCCGCCGAGGGTTCGGATCCCATGTGGAGACCGGTTCCCACTCACTGGCTGAGCGCGGTGCAGGCGCAATACCGAGGGTTGTGATCCCATTACCGGTCAGTAAAAAAGACAAAAAGGAAAAAAAAAAAAGACAAAAAATATCACTCCAGCAGCTAACCCCCCCAAAATCTTATAAGGGTGTAAATTCATGCTGCCTCAGACTTCCCCAAATCAAGCACAGCAGAAACCAGAACCAAATCTACAAAGAGGCTAAGAAAGTGTAGCCTGTGGGCCGGCCCGGTGGCACACTGCTGCAGTGCGCCGCTTGGGAAGTGCGGCGGCGCTCCCGCCGAGGGTTCGGATCCCGCATACAGACCGGTTCCCGCTCACTGGCTGAGCGAGGCGCGGGGGCAACGCCGAGGGTTGCGATCCCGTTGCCGGACATGGAAAAAAACAAAAAAAAAAAAAAAAAAAAA